TTAGAAAATATGGGCAAACTGGGCGAATTCGATGTTGTTTCGTATGAAATTTCAGTATAATTCAAATCATTTAGTCATTTATGACCAAACGGACAAATTTTATTTCTGGACAGTTCGTAAGCCTTAGTAATTCGTAACTTGGAAGAAATAACTCCACGCCCGTTTTAAATGAATACATTTCGCTTTGAATAATTGGAAACGGAATTTATTGAAAAGAATGTCGGTAAAGGTATGAGTTTCATTTATGCTCCAGTTTGCTAGTTTCACGATTTACTGTTGTCCAGGTAATGTATGATTGATTTACGCAGTTGTTTTCTAAGGCAGGGGTGGTAAATTCATCGTGAGGCAGCGTTGACTTCCATATTACAAGTAATTGCTGTCCTCTGCGGTTTGCGCGCATTTCTAATCCCTCCGCGAGCACCTGCATCCCTCGGAAGCGTTCAAGCTGTTTTTTCGTTGTTTTATGAAATATTTGGAAACATGCAATACAGCCGGTAAGAAATAATCAAAAGGAACCCAAAGATCTTGAGAGGTTTATTCGTTTCCTTCCGTATGATAGCGTTATTTATCTCTGAATCATGTCCTGGGGGTAGCGATATAAGCGTTCTTTCATATTTTACTCTGTAGATTAATTGAACCTCATGACTTGTGTGCAATTCTGGCGTTTTGTACTGCAATACAGTATTAAAGTTTTCTATCATGCCTTGTATGTTAGAAACGTATTTCAGTTAATAAGTATTGAAAAAGGATAGATTGAGAACCATACTATGGCTCAGTTCAATTGAGGACCATATTAAGCGCATTGTTGTAACTTCGTATCGAGAACCGCAGAGTCTACCCGATTGGTGGATGACCAGAATCATCAGAAATACTTCCTGGAGCTGTTTCCCTTCGATAGGAAGGAAATAACCGGCTCTAAAAATGAATAGATGAGTAACTAGAAATGCTAATAAATATAACTACTCTGATATAGGTTTGAGAAGCTAAATACTTGTACTTTACTTCCATTGTACAAATTCAACAACATCATCGTCCGGTTCGCGCAGAGCGCACAACGTTCAGCGGTAAGAAATCCGCCGCTCGCTAATACGAATAACCATGAAATGCAAATTACTTAGCTGTGGCCACCTACCGTTAATTCATAAATAGTTATTGACGGTAACAAATCGGTGTACAAAGGGATACTCAGACTGGCAAACCGGATAGGGGACTGGAGAAGGCAGTGTATTTATTTGTAGAAAGAACACTGCGAAGTCGTTTGTTCATGCAGCCTAACTTGTGACTCAGTTGTGATTGTTCGGCTCGAAAGATTGAATTAACACTGAATGAACGACGTTGAGAAATGGAAACTCAAGAACATCAATGTTGCCATGCTTGAAGACGTGGACAAAGAAACATGATGCCAATGCTAGTTGTTTTTATATCTTCATCCAGACGTCTTGAAATCTCTTTTCAGTCTTTAATGTGCTACTGGTATGTTAGAGTGGTTCATTCAGTTAGTATTGATTAAGTCATATGTGTAATGTTGCATTTAGTGTCCCGGCGTTTTTGCCGTTCGCATTCAAACGATTTATGTATCAATTAGAAACTAATCTTCTAGCTACAGTAATCCATATGTAAATATTTTCGTTAGTGAATCGTTCAAGAGGTCGGTCAAAAATGAGCCCCAAAATTTGTCACATCGCCATAAAAAAATTTCTGCTACTTACGACACCTCGTTTCAAAGCGATTGATATGTTAATTTTTAAATTTTAATCGTCGTTTTTCAGCACATCGATCCCCTGAAGCGGATCGACCATTCTATGATCAGCTATGAGCCTTTCGAAAAGAACTTCTATTCGGAACACAGCGACATCAGCCAACTTAGCCAAGACCAGGTGAACGGATTGCGCAAGAAGCTTGACATCAAAGTTATCGGCGCCAATCCGCCAAAACCGGTGTCCAGTTTCGCCCATTTCGGTTTTGACTCGAAGTTGATGGCTGCTATTCGCAAAGCTGAATATTCTGTGCCAACGCCGATCCAGGCTCAGGTGATTTGTTGTGTATTTACTGTTGTATTTTGTTGAAAAGTGCTGCCAATATTTTATAATTCATCTTCGAAACACCTTGACGAATACATTGTTAATTTTTGTCAAATCACTATATATGCAAATTTGTTTCAGTTTAATCAAATACATTTAATAAATATGCACAATCTCCTGTCACTTCTTCGGATCCACACGACGTAATCGCACATTCCGATTGCTTTTTGTGGCTGAGTGGGCCCTTTCTGCAGACCATGTTTTCCATCATCTGCAGTGTATAGGCGCAAAACCGTAGTGCTTTGTTGGGTCGAATAAAAAGTCATGATAGGTTACAATTTGGAGATCTTTATTATTACTGGCGGTATTGGAAACTATCGATTTGCCGGAGTTGAAATCAATCAGATTTCAACTAGGTATATACAGCCTGCCATATTGGCAGAACAATAACGGAACTACCTTCAACGTTCTGTCCTATGCGATACTTTAGGTTTAGTACATAATTTAGAGTTTTGAGTGTAATTTTATTTTCTGAGATGATGGGGAAAATGTGTCGATCCACATGCTTTGTAATTATACAT